AAGGAAGGAAGGAAGGAAGGAAGGAAGGAAGGAAGGAAGGAAGGAAGGGAGGGAGGAAAAGAAAAAGCAAGCTCAATATTTTACATAATGAGTTTTTCAACAGAACATTCATTAAGAAATGTCCAATAGATCCACAGGGTCGAGTGGATGGACAGAAGGTTGAGCGTCTATTCCCCTGTCTTCCTGCTAATTACTTTGTCAGAAAGAATTCAATAACTAGAGGGTTCATTCTATGTTGCATTTTAAGTTGTTAGGAAACAGAGTAAAAACAAATCTTTTAAGGAGAGCCATGTTTATTAAAAAGTTTCCTCATTTTGGCTTAAGTCCTTTGGAGTTAAGCTAGGCAGAAAATGTCTCCTACCCAAATAAAAGGTGAAGCTATAAAAAGTAAGCAAGGTCAAATTCAAGTACATTTATAAAATATTTGACAATTCCTACACCACCGAAAAAGCATCATGTCCCCTTCAGTACATTGTCTGGTTGCTGCCTCCTGTCTCGGCAACTGCATTTCATAGTCGTGGTCACAATCATGAAATACAACATTCCAAAAATTAAACTATAGTCTGTTCTTCTGGGATGGAAGTCAAAGGTCCTTCAAAAAATTCTTACAGGAATATGCAAGAACACATGAAATACTCAAAAAAAAAAATCATTGTAAACTAAATAAGTTACAGTTGGAGGAAGAGCTTATGGTGATAACATATCACTTATGAGGACCAATTTAGAGTGCTAGATAAGTCGTCAGAAAACAAGAAGCTTTGTTCTGCAAAGTTGTGCTTTTAGCACTTTTGCTTCTTTGGAGAAGAAAGCCGAGCAAAGAAAATTAAAGTTCCTCCCAGTGATAGCAAATATGTAACTGCTGACACTTCCACTCAGCATCTGTTTTGTCTTTTCCTTGTCTGTTTTCATTTTCCTGACAAACCTATTTGACTAGGGTTCTTCATTCAGTCAATAAATGTTTATTGCATACCTATTATATGAACACAATGGTTAACAAAATGCATTCCTTGCCCTGGAGCTTTAGCAGGTAAATTAAAAAACCAAAGACGAAATCAAGGTGTGATAAGGGCTAAGCTGAGGAAGCAGGTGGAAAAATAAAGTAATCTAGTCTGAAGAAGCGGGTTTAGTGAGGACTTAAGGTGAAAGTCATTGATAAACTGAGTTAATCAAGCTGAGGAGAGTGGTAGAGCCATAGGGGGAAAGAAATCAGGGGGCAGAGAAAGGATTTTCCCATCTGAGGGAACAGCATCTGCAAAAGAAAGGAAAAACATATTTTGAAGAGATTTACAAACATATCAGTACCTTGTAATATATACTGTAAAAGAAAAAAAAAACATAGAAGAGCAGTCTGGAAAGATAAACAACAGGATCATGCAAATTCTGGTAGGACAAGTGAAGGAGTTGGATTTTATTGTAAGGACTGTGGGTTACACTGAAAAGTCTTAACCTCATGGTTTGGGTTTTAGAAAGACCATAGGCTATTTGTGTGGAGAAAGACGAGACTTGAGACAGTTTGGAGATTGTCCTGCTAACATAGGTGAGAGGTGATGGTGGCCTAACTCAAGAAACCAGTAATGATGTGGAAAGACCTGGATAAATTGGGATGGTATCACGGAGAAAGAAGCTGTAACAGGACTCGATATATAGGTGTGGGAATTTAAACAGGGAGAAATCACTCTCCACATTCCTTATACCATGTTTCTTTCTTTCTTTTCTTTCTTTCTTTTCTTTCTTTTCTTTCTTTCTTTCTCTCTCTCTCTCTCTCTCTCTCTCTCTCTCTCTCTCTTTCTTTCTTTCTTCTTTTTAAACATGATCTATAGAACCTAAGCACCAATGGTGGTCACACATCCTAGGAAGTCACCCAAGGCAGCTGTGTGGCCTGTATCTAATTGTTTCTGTTGATGGGCTAAGAATACTGATAGAAATGAAACTTCCTATCCAATTAATAGATATTTTTTCACTGCTCTAGGAAAATGGAATGTTCAACACTATACCTAGGAGGTTGAATGAAAAATACCTGAAAAGATAAGAAGAATAATGACTGAAATCTGTGATTACTATTCCCCACATAAGTTACTAATACTTTAGAAACCAGCTATATATGCCTCAGTGAATCTGATATGTTTCTGATTCTGTGTTGCTATTTCTGATCAAAACAAAAGGAGTTTCTATAATTATTATTTCATGTAAGTTCATGTCTCATGATTCTTTTTTTGTACCTATAATTCAAATGAACTTCAAATCTAGTCATAAGCCTTTAGATTGTTTTCCCTCCAAAATCTGAGAATGAATTGAAATTCTCCTCACATTTGCATGAAATCTATATGGAAAGTATGGTTCCCTACTAGGAGACTTTTCAACCAAAGATAAATGTAAGCAAATTTCAAAATGTTCTAAGCATCGCCCAGTCTGCTTTTTACTGCGTCAACCATGAGACAAACAACAACAAAACAAAACATAGGGAAAAAGTTCTTTGTGCCTTGAGCAAACAGAAAGGAATAACAGTGAAAATCTAAACATACCACCTTTATTATGCTAAGTGAAATGAGTCAGGGAAAGGCAAATATATGATTTCACTTATGTGTAGAATCTAAAAAAAAAACACACAAAAGAACAAAGAAAACATAACAGAAACAGTCATAAATGTAGAGAATGGGTGGTTGCCAGAGGGGAGGGGTGGGGAAGTGGGCAAAATAGCTGAAAGGGATTAAGAAGTACAAACTTCCAGCTACGAAAGAAATAAGTCACAGGGATGTTAACTACAGAACAGGAAATATAGTCAGTAATATTACAGTAACTTTGTATGCTGACAGATGGTAACGAAACTTATCTTGGTGAGCACTGCATAGCATATAGAATTGTTGAATCGCTATGTTGTATACCTAGAACTAATATTATACTGTATGTTAACTATGTTTCAATTAAAAACTTAATTTTAAAAAATATTTTAAAAACTTAAAAATAAAACGAACTTACTATCCTGATAGTCTCCTTTAAGGAAATAAAAGTAACACCAGACTTCTGATAAGATATAAATGCCATGGGGTACTAAAAATATCAGTTACACAACGAGAAGGGAGAAGAGGCTAAGGAGTTGTTCATAAAGAAAAATCTTTCCCAAACTCCACATAACAAACTAACCCACATAATACTCAAAGGAACTTTATTTTTTTACTGCCCCTTCTCTGAAAGGTCAAAAGTACCAATCCAGTAAATGCATGTTGATAGGTTTGAGTCTGGGAAAAACAATATTCTACCATTACAACCCTTGGCAATAGCCCAGCAAATATACGACCAAACCAGAAAATTCTCTGACCATTACAACAGAATTGTACAATAAACACCAGGAGTATTTTAAGTTTCTCTGACTAGTATTCATGGGCACTACATCCCTAAAGAAAGAAGTTGGCTTAAATGTTTGAGGTAAAACTTTGTTTAAAAAAATAGAGGTTAGTAATTAGACAAACACCTACCTTGATCTAGCACCCTACCTTGGAAGAATATAAGGGCCCTTATGAATGTTACCTTACCTGGAAAAGCATCTTTGCAGATGTGATTAAGTTAAAAATCTTAAGATGGGAAGATGTTCTTGGATTATCCGGGCAGGTCCTAAATGCAATCATAAATGTCTTTGTAAAGAACGGCAGCAAGGGATTTGATACAGGCGAGAAGTTGTCGTGACCACAGAGGCAGGGGATGTAGGGTGCAGCCACAAGCCAAGGAACCCCTGAGTTACCAGAAGCTGGAAGAGACAAGGAACAGATGCTCCCTTAGAGCCTCCAGAGGGAGCGGACCCTGCCGACATCTTGCTTTCAGCCCAGTGATACTGATTTTGGACTTCGGACCCACAGAATTGTGAGAGAACGAATTGGTCCTATTTGAAGCCACCAAGTTTGTGATAGCTTCTTAGAGCAGCCACAGGAAGGTAATACAGATGCCTTGGGTATGTATAGCAGGGGAGGGAGACAATTCTCATCACTCACTTTGCCACTCAGCAGTTCTCCTACACAATGCGCTCACGCCTTGGGCGTGAAACCTCATAAAAGAGGCAGAACTTTAACTGCTTTAACTGAAGACAGTCTCCTGGGCACCCACACGCCAGAGGAAACGGAAACTTCCATGCAATCAGAGCAGCCGCGCCCCGCTCAGTGAGGGAGTCAGGGGGTGGGTAAGAGACTGCATCCTTTTCAGTACAGCTACTGTTACCAGTTGGGGCTGAAACCATTCTGGGAGCACGTCCCTTTGTATGACTCACTGGTTAGGAGAAATCAGACGCCAAGTGTGGAGTGATGGGAAGGCTTCCAGAGAAGATACTCTTTTCTCCAGCCCAGGAGTCAGAAGCAATGTGACTTTGGGCGAGTTGCTAACCTACTTCACAACAGTGTCATAGGGCAGCTTTGCAATTAATTTGTAAATGCCCTTTGGCCCACAGAAAATCCATTCAGCCTGTGAGATTTGTATCTCCCAGAGCTACTGATTTGCATACCGTGCAGCCCTGCGGAGGAAACAAGTATCTGCCTGCAGTAGCTACAAATGCAGAGTTCTCTTAAAAACACAGGTTCCCTGCAAGATCCAAGCAGACATGTAAGAAGGGGGAGACTGTGACATTTGTTTTGGTCCCACTGACGAAACCCTATTTGACACATTCTGATTCTGTTTAGCAAACGGGTATATTGGTAAGCATTTATTTCCTTGGACACTGAGGCAGTTGGCAAATTGTGTTCAGATGCTTCTGGATCCTCAGGAAAAGGGCACTGTATAAATCCAGGGAACTATTACATGAGAGAGAGAGAGAGCCTTTATCTCCGGGTCTTAATAAAGAACTAAGCATTAGGCCTATCAGACTTCTAGTTCAGACACCAAATTGACCCCTCTGGGAGCTGGGCAAAGTCTCAATCTCCTTCCTGCCTTATATAGCAGTGGTAATAAAAGAGCATACACTGAGGATTAACTAAAGTTCACATACTGCCTTGAAGAGAAAAGTCTTGATTTAAGTGCTGAAAATTTATATTAGTGGGAGGGGAAAGACTGGAGAATGGCAAAAGGGATGGAAAGTTACAGCAAGTTATAATGAGAAATATAAATTGAAGCAGGTCTAAGGGAAAGACAAGAGATCAGATGCATGAAGGTAGGGGGTGGGAGAAGTGGCCCAAAAAAAGGAAAGACTTTTCCTCCATCTGTGTTGGCTTAGGCATGCTCTTCAGGTCCTAAAGGGAAGTATATTCTTTAGCAACAAAAGAATAATGATTCCAAGTGGAGAAAAGGAAAAAGGCAGCACGAGAATATGAGGAAATGACGGAAGAAAAAAGAAGGCCAAGAACAAAAAGGTTAAGAGAGGGTAAGGGACATAATAAGACAACAGAGAATGAAATTCACAGCATCTATAACAGGACCTAGGAAGAGCCCTTTAGCCCCAGTTCATTTTAAGGGCAAGAATTGCTGCCTTGATTTTATGAAGTCAGAGCTGGTCCATGCTGTCACTCTCTTGCTTCAAAAGTGATTTGACCAAACCAAGTGGAGGCATAGGTCTAGCCCTATATGTATATATGTATTTTACTCACATTCAGAGTTCCTAACATAAAATACACTGACCACCAAAGCTATATTTGCACATACACACCATACCACACACACACACACAATTTGGCAGAATTCTGTTAAAAAGTTGAATACAATTAAATCATTTTCCAGGCTTCCATTATCAAGCAAATGGTTAGGTTTTTTGTTTATCTGTATGTTTGTTTTTTAATCTAAATTATCCAAGCTTTACATAGTTGTAGCTGACAATATGCCTACAAAAGGTAACATTTTTAAATTTTTTTTTTTCAACGTTTATTTATTTTTGGGACAGAGAGAGACAGAGCATGAATGGGGGAGGAGCAGAGAGAGAGGGAGACACAGAATCGGAAACAGGCTCCAGGCTCTGAGCCATCAGCCCAGAGCCCGACGCGGGGCTCGAACTCAGGGACTGCGAGATCGTGACCTGGCTGAAGTCGGACGCTTAACCGACTGCGCCACCCAGGCGCCCCCAAAAGGTAACATTTTTAAATTCACCTAAATTGTTAAAGGCAAAGGTATTATATACCTCATTTTGTTTTTGTGCTAGACAATTCCAAAACCCATCTCATGGTTTTGTAAAAACCTTGGCCAAAATCCATCAGATAATAGTCACATCTCTCTTTGTGATGTGAGGTATAATAGGGAGTGGAGAGGGAAGGTGACAAAATTGAACTGCTCCACAGTCCAAAGGAAAGAAAACATTTCTCCCAGTTCATGTATAAGCAGATATCAGATTGCATATCCACTCCACCATGCTCTGATTTTTCAGTAGTACTCAGTTCTTTAACCCTGTTCCAAATGTCTGATTAAACCGTATCACCTGTGTAGCATTTTTAAGATATAATGATCTTATTTTTCCATCAGCATCATTCTTTTATTGGACAAAAGAATTGTGTAGGATCTGGTTAATGAATAGAAACCAGGCCAGTTATTTCATAAAGGGGATTTATACAAATAATTATCAATTGGGTATTACAAAACTGGAAACATGGAAGTATCCAGGTAGTTGAGACTTACCCTAGACCTGGAGGGAATGATGAGAGAAGATGAGGGGAGATGCTAGGAATTGTTAAAGTGCATTGAGCTGCAGTGGTCCAACATGGTAGCCACCAGCCACAATTGGTTTTGAGCACTTAAAATGCCACTAGTCTGGGGCGCCTAGGTGGTTCAGTCAGTTGAGCATCTGACTTCGGCTCAGGTCATGATCTCACGGTTTTTGAGTTCGATCCCCACATCGGGCTCTGTGCTGACAGCTCAGAGCCTGGAGCCTCCTTCAGATTCTGTCTCTGTCTCTCTCTCTCTGCCAGTCCCATGATCATGCTCTCTCTCTCTCTCTCTCTCTCTCTCTCTCTCTCTCTCTCAAATATAAATAAACATTAAAAATTTTTTTTAAATAAAAAATAAAAAAAATAAAATGCCACTAGTCCAAAGTGAGATGTACTGAAAGTATAAAATACACACCAAATTTTGAAGACTGAGTATGAAAAAAGGATGAAAACATAATCATTTTTATATTGATTATATGCTGAAATGATAATATTGAGAGATACACTGGATTCAATAACATTTATTTTACCTATTTCTCTTTTACTCCTTTGATGTGACAACTTGAACTTAAAATTTTCTGTATGACTTGCATTTTCTTTCTGTTGGATGGTGCTGGCTGACAGGCTTAGAAGAACCTCCTGGAGCTGGGACTGAGTCTTTTGAGAAGGGTGCTGCAGAAGGGTATTGGTGTGTCTGAGAGAGAATGATGGGGCTGGTTCAGGCTGTGTGAAATCTGCAAATTGGAGCCAATTGTCATGGATCAACTGGCCCTGCCAAGGCGAAGAAATGCGACTGCAGTGCCCCCACAGGAGCACAGGAAAACAAGGAAGAAGTCTTTTCCTTCCCCAGCTTTGCAATTTTCCTCTGTTGCCCCCAGTTGGCAGAACCCAAGGCTCACTTGGCAGACCCAGGTCTAAGGGAGAAATGTGATTTGCAGGATCCCAGCCCCAGCTGGGCAAAGCAGAATATGGAAAGATGAGTCTGCTGCTGAGAGGCAAACAGCTTAATCACTGGCACAACAGTCATTGTCTGTCAGGCATGGTTTTAGACATTAGGGGCACAAGCATGAACCAAAGTCCCTGTCTTCACCATTCTAATGAGGCAAGGCAGACAATAAGCAAATTCATAAAAGGGATGATTCCAGGGAGTGACAAGTGTTAGGAACTTAAGGAACTGGAGACATGTGAACTAAGGTCTGGAGGGATGGAGAGGGGAGGAGGAGAAGGAAGAGGAAGTATTCCAAGGCAGAAGGAATATTACCGAAAAATCTCTGAAAAGAGAATGATCTGAGATTGCAGCTGACGCATAATCGTGGAGAGGAAAAATGATAAGGGATGATTGGGACTGATTACATAAGGTCCCTGCAAATCATGGTAAGTAATATGGATTTGAACTTAATTGCTATGGGAACCACTGTAGGATTTTAAGCCGGAAAGTGGTATGATTTGATTTACGTTTGTAAAAGGTCATTCTGGCTGCTGTGCAGAGGCGTAGACTCTAGGGGGACAAGCATATGAGGGAGACCAGAAAGCTACTGCAGCAGGGTAAAAGATGAGGCTACCTGGGACTGGGGTTGAAGCCGTGGACATGCGTAGAAGTGACTGTATTCAAGATAAGAGTTGGAGGTTGTGCAAACGGTATCCACTAAGATTGGGACGCTTCATGCAATTCATTTGAGTAAATTTTCCAAACAGCTATCACACTTTAAACACCACAATTGTTTTAAAATATTCTTGTTATTTTTCATGGAAATAAGTCACAATTATACAAAACATTCCTTGATCTTCTTCTATAGAAAATCCCAACCAAATTTACAAACTGCTATTTTGACTCAGGGTCCTGTTCTCCATTTTTGCCTGCCATCTGACACATTCTCTGTCAATTTCTTGAGTTTCTCAACTCCCAATTACTTTCACTCCATATGTTAAAGCTCTGCTTCTGTTGAGGCAAACCTTAATTAGGATGAAAAGATGATTTTCCAGATAATCTAATCCAGACATTGACTATGCCATTTAGGTAAATGTCACACCTGCCAGGCTCAGGTCAGCATCGGCTGCCCCAGCCTGTCCATAAAGCCTGTGCTTACCAAGGCCCACATCTAACCAAAATTATCCTTGCTTCTGAGACACCAGCCAT